GGGCCCCCAGGGCCGTCCCCTTGGGCCTATAAACTGCCATGGTAAGGTTACAAGTGAGAAAGTTTCACAAGGAGTACTTATGTGACCCCACCAGTTCAGGAAGAGATAATGCCAACTGTGACAAGTCAGGCAGGAGGCAGCAGAGAGCCTGACCATGTCCCAAAGGATTCTAGGATGGCTAAGCAAGGTGGAAGAGAGTGAGCTGGTCTATGTGCATATACTAGAATGTGCACACATGCACAGAATGAACCAAACCAAAGGGAGCTGTGCAGGAAGTGCTCCCCAGGAAGTGCTCTTGCACGCAATCCAATTAAAAATTCAAGTGGTGCCACTCACTCCCCCACCACCAGAACGGTGCCATGCATTTACTCATCGTCGCTAGCCAGCGCTTCTGAGATGAACCCATTAGGGGACACAGACCAGCGTATGCAGACTCACAAGAATTGCAGCCTTGACATTCTGCAGTCCATCATACCAAGGGATATTCAGGACAGGCCCCCCCCCCCTTCACACCGGTGGATCACGGCGCTGGCCTACTAGAGTCCCCTAGCGACTAACTCACACTTTGCACACAATACCTAGGTGAGCACCTTACATCTTGCTAGCAGAAAAATGCCTTGATAAAATGTAAGTGAGAAAATGGTAATTGGCCGTACCTAAACGGCTGGACAGGAGCCTTGTAGATGCGGGTGGGCTTCTTAAAACGTTAAGACGTAAAATGTAAAAAATGTAAACAGCCAGCGATGGCTGTTTACATACAAGCATTCTGACGTCTGTAGAGATGCCCGTATTGTATTAGGTGCCGGTGTGCATTGTGGGGCACTGCAAAGCAGATGCATTGGTAAGGTGCATTAGGGTGCCATTAAGAATGAATGGCACCACAGCACACCAACGCAGAAAATAAGCGCTAATAAGTGTAATTCGAGTGTGAGTGTTGCTATAGGGCAACAACGTGAACCCGGCCTCAATATCTGTAAACATTTCAAGTGATTTTGTTCCCATATAAGATGTAAGCCTATGTAAAGTAACTAACAGCAGTTAGACACAAAAGTCAATACAGGAAATCATATTTTTATTTTAGGCTTGCCACATCTTAGCTAGTGTATTTTCGGGAGGTGCAGAACACATTCCATAGCAAAACACAGTGTGGGCTTCATATGTCGGGTGGATGTTATTCACAAGGCACTAGCTCCCCTTCATGGTGCTGAGAATATGATCTTATTATATGTGCATGAACGATGTGCTGGTGTATGGGCAAAAGTTTAGTAAACGTGTTCCTATATTCTCAGCAACGTGTTCATACTGATTCTTAGTACTACCTAGAAGAAAACATTTGTCACAACTCACTCTCATGACATTGCATGTATGGGCAAATGTCATATCATCATCCCTCTGATCAAGGCAACACTTCTCTACTCAATGTCTGTATACCTGTAACACACTTAAACTGAAAAAGCGTTCCTTTATACTTACTCCAGTATATGAAGAGTCTGCAGCTCTGGAAATTTCTCCACCAGTTTTTCTACGCCTTTATCACCAATGTGATTTTCTGTAAGGTTACTCAAGCTGAACAAGACCAGAAATAACATCGTCAGTACTAATAATTTAACTGTCACACAGGAAAGATGTATTTGTTATATTTGTCATATTTAAACAGACAACAAACTGACTTAAACAGACTGCAATTTACCTCTATGATAGAAGCAACACAGTAAAGCATAGTACAAACAGAAGTACAGTATTTTGCGGTCTATAAGACGCTGCGGACGATAGGACGCAGGGCTTGTGACAGAAATTCTGTCACAGAAGCTGCAGTTAGTGACCGCTGAGACAGGTGGCGCTGTCTCAGTAATCACACAGAGCAGACAAAGAACGACGTTCCTCGTCTGCTCAAGGGCCTCTATGGTGAGCTCCTACGGGGGACCGTGATGGGTCACGGCCCCCCAGAGGAGCGGGGGACCCTGAAAACCACGGCGGGGGGCGACACGATCACTGCCACCGCCGCCGCTCGATTTAATACAAGGGATCTAATTAGATCTCTTTTATTAAACGAGCAGCGGCTCCCACTGTACATTCAGCTCTGCTTGTCAGGAGCAGGGCTGAATGTACAAAAAGAAACTGCTCGCCCGGCGCCCGAAACTGCATGTCCCAGGCGTCGGGCGATAGGTATTCGCTCCATAATACGCAGGCACACTTTTCCCCTCCTTTTGGGGGAAAAAAAGTGTGTCTTATGGAGCGAAAAATATGGAGCTGCAGGACAGCCTTGCGTAATCCCTTCCACTCCCGGCCAAGAAAAACAAACCTACCAGGGAACAGAACTAGAAAACAGGACTAGAAAAACAGAGGCGTGCCCTGACATCCACCTGGTAGAACTTGACAAAAATGGGCACAGAAGACCAGGTGACGGCCCTACAGATTTTGGAGACTGAAGGCTGATGCTAAAATGCCCATGAAACGCCAACCCTTCTAGTAAAGTAAGCAGTGATCAGAAATGCAGGAACTATCCCTTTTACTTCTTAGGCTTGAGAGATGAAGCCACCTAGCAATGGTGGAATGGGAGGCTGGTTGCCTAAGGTTACCATTAGTCCCAGTTTCCCGGAATCAGTGTCCCCAAATTTGTCCCCAGCATGATTATTTAATTTGTGCATGTGCAGTGTGTTTTTTTTCTGCTGCACCTGAGCAGTGTGCACCTATGTACACTGCGCACCTGCTAGCCCAAAATAGTGCCAATTAAGCTGTCTGCACCATTTTGGGCTAGCGCGTGTGCATTATGAGTTGGTGCCCACTGCCTGCGGTTATATATAGCCTGGAACGCGTACAGATGCTGCCATTTTGTCCCAGTCTCCAAGAGAAGTAAAAGTGCAGGACACACAGCCACAGCACAGACGCCAACCTCCCTGATACATCAGGGTGAAGGAGGCACAGCCACCCACCTACCTACCAACCTTCCTGCCTCCCTGATACATCAATAGGAAGGTCACCCTAACAAACCTACCAGATACATGAAGCTACATAGGGCAGCACAGTGCCGTAGTGGTTAGCACTTCTACCTTGCAGCACTAAGGGTCCCCGCTTCAAATCCTGGTCAGTACACTATCTGCAAGGAGTTTGCATGTTTTCCCTGTGCTTGCATGGGCTTCCTCCCACACTCCAAAGACATGCTGGAAGGTTAATTGGCTCATGTCTAAACTGGCCCTGGTATATTGATTGTAAGCTCTTTGAGGGTAGGGACTGATGTGAATGTGCAACTATGTAAAGCACTATGTAAATTGTTGGCGCTACATAAATACTGTGTTTGCTGGTGTATAAGACTAATTTTTATACTTAAAAACATCCCCCGAAAATCGGGGGTCGTCTTATACGCGGGGTATACAATGTGTACCTTCAGTTCGTTTAGGCCAAGCTGGCCCAAAACGAACATCACTAATCTGTCAACCCGCTGGATGTGCGGTAATACTGTATGTACGGTAGCTTCGGCTACATACAGTAGCTGAGCCAATCACGGCGAGAGATGTACACAACCTCTGCCAATCCAAGCAAGCTTTGTATTCATTAATAGAATACATTGCCTGCCGTGATTGGCTCAGCGCGGTATACTGTATGTAGCTGAAGCTACCGTACATACAGTATTACTGCACATCCATCCATGATTTTTTTAAATGGTGTTGCCTCGGAAGTGGGGTAGTCTTATATGACGAGTATAGATGAAAACCTATGTTTTAAGTGGAAAATTAGGGGGTCGTCTTATACACCCAGTCCCTTATACGCCAGCAAATACGGTACGAGAAAAAAATTTTTTTAACCTGCCAGGTACATTACGGTGAAGATCACAGAGCCACAGACACTTACCTAACAAACCAATCTACCTGAAACTTTGGAGGAACAGTCCAGGGAGCAAAGTGAGTAAGCAAGGACAAGATGTAATACTGCACTTTGTAAAACTTGAAAATGGGGCAAACAGAATCTAGAGCAGTTGCCCATAGTAACAAATCAGCTGCTATCTTCCATTTTTCCAAGCTTTCCTGTACAAACTGAAGAAAGAAGCTGATTGGTTACTATGGACAACTGCTCCAGAATCTGTATACTGCATATTTGATAGATTACACCTAAGGTGTATGCAGTGTGGTATGTAAATTGTCTTTTATTTCTGGAATGTGGCTTTAACCAGTTGCCGTCCGCCCGTTGCAAAAAATGGACGGACAGCACAGTTGCATTGGCGGGTTGCCGTCTCCAGACGTCATTTTTTTTCTGCGCGCACGGGCAGAAAAAACCCGTCCAATGTAAAGAACCGTTACCGGCTGATTCACATATACACGATCGGTGGCTCTATAGCCTGCCGATCACGTGTATGTGCTGGCTGCGTGACCCCCCCCTCGAGTGCCGCCGCCGTATAATGTCTCCATAAAGAGGACCTGTCAGTGTGCCTTTGCTATTATATAGGGGGATTTTTATCTCCTTATGTAATAGCAATGACATTAAGTGTAAAAAAAATAAAAAGAGTAAAAAAGTCACATATAAAAAAAAGTTTAAAACCCCCCCCAAAAATTCTTACGTTCCCCACCCCCACGTTTACGCACATATACCCCTATCTGTCTGTCTATCTCCCACCTTGACTGCCTTTAGGCGTTCCCTAAAGACTCATCTCTTCAGGGAAGCCTATCCCACCTCAACCTAACCACTCAACCATCACTTTCTCAAATAATTCATCCCCACACAGCTACCTCCTCATGTATCATTTCCAGGAGACGTGATATCGGGACTTTTTTCCAGAAAACGGGCGCCACGAGATCTGAACAGAGTGCAGCCAAGATGGCGGCGGTCCGGGAGCTGCACAGGCCGCCATCTCCTCTGGAATCTCTCCTCTCCACGCGTGCTAGCGAGGACATAGAGACCCCTGATCCTAGTGATGGTGAGGGAGATGACAGGGATATCCCCTCAGCATTTCGTAAGTACTTTGCTCTTTTACCTACTACGGGGGACACTGAGACTATGTTCCATAACCTGGAATCCACACATAAGCAGGAGATGGCTGAAATTAAGGAGGGTTTCCACTCCATGCACCAGCGTTTGGATGTGGTTGAAAACACCTTGCCCCCTGTCACTGTGGCCCTGGGAGAGCTGCAACATATTGTGCAGCAACAGCATGTGACTATTCAATCCTTATGGACTCAGGTGGAGGACCAGGAAGACAGGAATAGGCGAAATAATATTTGCATACGCGGTCTCCCTGAGGCTGCTGGCGCATCGGATCTGAAAGCCACGGTATTGGGAATCTTTAACACCCTCCTGCACAAACCGGTCTCCGACCACATTGAATTGGATAGGGTGCACAGAACAGCGGGCTTCCGCAGACCAAATGCGACGCAGCCGCGTGACGTGCTGTGTAGAGTGCACTATTTCTCTGTAAAGGAGGATATCATGGCTAAAGCCTGTGCCGCCGGCACGGTGGATTTTGATGGAGCACAGCTCTCACTGTTTCCTGACCTCCCCAAACGCACGCTGGATAAATGCAGGGCTCTGCGTCCCCTCACTAAGGCTTTGCAGCATGCGGGTCACACCTACCGTTGGGGATTTCCTTTTTGTCTCTCTGCTAGGAGGAATGGGAAGACACATTTGTTCCGTGCCCCGGTTGATCTGGAATCCTTCCTCACAGTGGTGGAACTGCCCCCAGTGGTCTTGGACGCTTGGCCGGATGCCCCATTGCCCCCTTTCACCGTTGTCCCCTTGGGAGATCAGTGGCAGCTGGTCTTGCCGAAGCCCCGCAGAGACCGCAGGTCCTCCTCTAAACCCACCCCCCTGTTCTAGACGTACTGCTGGGGTCCGCTGCCCCTGACCTAGGTCACACTCCCTGAGCCTTCCGACACTCTTTGCCTGATGGACTGTGGACTTACCTGGTATCTCCGGATGCATACCTACTGTACACGGCTGCAAGGGTATCTGACAGGGGTTGCATCGGCTGCCTTCCTGCCCTGTCTTGAGGGTGCCCATGGGTTTATCTGGTGGCGTAGAAACCCACTGTTTACCGATATATGTTTTACCACGGTGCCTTACATGTTTTTGTTATGGTTTTCTAATGCTGCCCATTATGTTATGTCCTGGCTCTTTCCACTTTTGCACTTGTTGCCTTCCCATAGGAACGTCCCAGTTGTTATGGGCCCGAGTGGGAGTCCAAGGGCACTGGGGCTCTCATTATGCCCGGTACTCCCCTTGTGTCTCCTACTCGGCTGGGGGTTGGGGCCGGACCCTGGGTTTGGTTTACTTATGTTGCTTAATTTCATGCGGGGTGGTGCTGATTGCTGCTGCCTGCTGCTTACTGTTTGCTGTATAATGTTTTGAATTATATTGCTGGTTCTTTTGTTGTTGCTATTGGTTATGCACTTCATCTGGTGTCCCTGGATTGCACAGGGCTATTGCCTCACATGGCCCCCACTAGGTGGCGCTCTGGGATGGCGGCTGCCTTTTTGGCCCGTGTCCTCAGACCGCGCTTGGGGATTTATTTCCCTTCTTTTAGTTGGTGCTCCATCACTGGGGCCTGTCTTCCTCAGCTTATTCCTTTTTATTTTCCA